CTTCCCCTAGTCAATACCCGAGTACCTCTTCAGCTCTAGTAAGGGTAAGGAAAGCCATAGATTTACACCTCTAAAAAGCCACCATAGTCCCTGAATCTTTCTGCATTCACTGCCTCCCTAAGAGGCATTCTTACTTTCTTAGAAGGTACTTGCTTTCTTTTAGGCATCCATGTCCATGTCAAAGTAAAGTCACATAAAGTTTCAAGTCTTTGCTGAAAAGAATTCCAATTCAGGTAATACCCATGTAGTAAAAGTACAACAAACTGAGTAGGAATTCATTTTGCCTTGCTTCCCAGTACACTGAAATAAAAATTAAAATAGGTTCACACTTACCTACATTTTTTTCTATGCATATTACAATGCACTTTAAGTGTCCATTTTGAACCTCTCATGGAGGACGCTCCTTCTAGTATTTTAAAATTATTATACTGTTCTCAACTCTCCCTCGTTCTAAAATTTGCAATTTATGATGGTATCAAAATTCCAAATCTCAAAAAATTCCTCATGAATAAAACGGTCTCATTTTAGTAATATCCACCGAGTCATGGTCATAAATCTAGTACACTAAATTCAAGCAAGAAAATAGGTTCACGCTTACCTACTTCTGCTTTATGCATATTAGAATGTACTTTAAGTGTCCATTTTAAGCATTTTCATAGAGGAATTTTCTGGGCAACTTGGTGCCAAAATATTTCAGCACAATATCTTAACAGTTAATAGTGTTTATTAAGTATTGATATGCTATGTGTTTGAAAGTAATTTTGGTGATCTCACCAATCTGTCTTTTGCTTGTACAAAAACAAAGACAAATCTTCTGTTTCAAGTTAAGTTCATATTACAAACACCACGATTTATTTTAAATTAACATGTTTTACAACTTTCCAGTTCTTAAAAAAAAAAAATATAGATACACTGCTTAATACTTGCAGAACTTGTTATCTTACCAAGAACTGATGGATGCATGGCAAAAGCACTATATCTGCCACGGTAAAATAAAGCCCTTCTGCAAAAACATGGTCCAAAAGTGGAAGGTCAGAGGTTTTTGTTCTCCTGATGTGAGGGGCCTCCCTGTTGACTGCATCTGATACTTCCTGGACAAGTAGCTTGGAGAAAGCTATGCTCAGTTCTAAACTTGGGAGTGGATGTTCATGCATTTCCATCGGTTTTCGTTCCTCTGTTGCTTCTTTACCAAGTACAGGCACTGCAGCCTTGGCACCTGCCTTCTGTTGTTGAAGTTTTTGCCTTCGAATTTTGTCATCATTGTGTACTCGGACAGGTTCTCCAAGCTTCTTTTCAAGCTGTAAAATCTCAGTAGGAATAGTCTGACAGTGCTCAGGAGATGCCGTCAAATATCCTTCAACAGCCAGAGGTATGCTGATCTCACAAAGTCTGGTCCACTGGCTAACCTGTCAGATAAATTTACATAATTAATGTCTCCACAGAAAGAGAAACAAAATCCAGGCTATCTTTTTGTCCACTTTAAGCAAACAAATTCCAGCTTTAAATACATTCTTTGATAATCTTAGAAGCTCAGATATTCTGTATTACTTTTGCAATAGCAGAATTAGGAAGTTAAATCTTACATATAACAGAACAAATAGTTATCCAGTAAAGCATATTTTTATTTCTTACTATTGGGACAGATTAGGGTGGCCCTGTAACTCATGAGAAGCAAAGCTGTGATCAATTTATGTGTTATCTCTACCAAGTGCTGGTAATAGAACCAGATTACACCAAACAGATTTTGAGCACATTTATTTTACAGAAATGCATTATATTATTAGTGGGTTTTTAACATGCAATATCAAAAAATATCAGTCTAATCAAACAGCACCTTAAAAAAAAAAATTACTTTTTTTTTCATGCTCTTATCCTTGTCCTCTTTTTCTTATTATCTGTACTGAAAGGTTTTAAAACTTTTAAACTCTTGTCTTTTCTTATTCAGTTTACTCACTTTGCAGCCATCTGAAACAGGGAATCAAGTTTTCTAGCAGTTCCAAGAAGAGATTAGAACCAGAGGTTTCTGGAGGATGTCAGAGAATTTCTTTATGCTACTGCTAGATGGATTAACACAGGGATATGCTTCCCCAGATCTGCTGCTCACCAACACGGATGAACTGGGTTGGACGCAGAGTCATCAACGGCAACCAAGGACACAGTGATCATGAAATAGTGGAGTTCAACCTCCTGAGAGGAGTGAGGAAGGCAAGTCTAGATGGATGAGCGGCCAATGAGTAAACTACTATGTGATAAATGTGCTGAAATATCAACTCAAAGGGTAGTAGTGGTTAATGGTTCACACTCTATATGAAGGTCACTTAGAAACAGAGCTCTTTAGGGGTCTATGCTGAGGCCTATCCTATTTAATTATCTTTACCAATGACCTGGAAGGGGAGATGGAATACGCTCACATCAAGGATGACAACAAATTGAGCGGCACAGTCGTCAAGCTCCAAGAAAGAGCTGCCATTCACAGGGGCCTGCACAGGCTAGAGAATGGGCTGACAGGAACTGACAGGAAACTCAATAAAACATCCTGCACCTAGGATGGACTAAACCCCTGTAATGGTACAGGCTAGGGACTGACTGCCTGGCCAGGTAGCAGCTCTGCTGAAAAGACCCTGGACGTCCTGGTGAGTATAAGCTAAACATAAGCCAGCAGTACGCCTCGGCAGTGATGAAAGTTAACAGTATACAGTTCTCCTGAAATCAAAATTAACAATAAATTTGGTATCTCTCAGTTTACTTCAAACCGCAAGAGCTGTACTTTAAACTCATTGAAACTACACTGCTAGACATGAATAAAGATCTGACCTATTTTTCGAATTTTAAGGTTCTTCTTGTGCTGCTAAAAAGTAGTGTCTTTAAAAAAAAACAGTTATTTTTCATCTTTATGACAAAATACAGACACTTCCCCATTGAGGAAATCTCATTTTCTATGCAAATTAAGTTTCTTGCTAAAACAATTTAGTTTACATCATGGTGAAAAGTCTATTTCAGAGTATTTCATGCTTATAAAAAACCCTATTAATGTATCTAAGAGAAAGAGACACACTTACTTCAGCACAGGCTTTTAAGCAGGTCTTCTTAAAGCCTAAAAGTTCCAAAACATCCTTTTTAGATGGATCTGCCTCATATGTTTTCTGTATTATATGCCTTAAGACAACAGAAAGTCCAGCTCGGCAGAACTTGCCATCTTTCACAACAACAGCAGGTAAACAGCAGCTCTGCACAACGACTGGAAGCTGACATCTGGAGATTAAATGGACCTCAAAATCGCCAAGGAGGTTTTTTGTCACAAACTGATCATCCACATCTTCACCAGTCGGCACTAAGAAAATTTTGAATAATTTGCAGTCACAGTAGGATAGCAAAAACAGTGAAACAGATGTATGAAGAGGAAAGATACTATCTCTGTACTGATGAGAAAAACCCAAATATAAATGTTCTTCAGTGACACTATCTTTCATCTTCCTCCTGAGCTGAAGCTCCTGAAATAGAAATCAGAACACAACATTCATAAAAGAATACAGAATTTAGAACAAAAAACAGGGTTTGAAACAGCAGTCCTTCCACTATGTTAAAATTGATTTTAACATAAGACCGTATTAAAGACATCCTGCCTGAATAAGTGGACTACAGGCCCTTCTTGAGAGAAGAGAATGGTTTCACATATACATTGACTCTTCACATACAAATCACTGATAGGGAAATGATCTGTGTAAAACTTTCTTACATTTTAGTATATTTCTAACATTAAACAAAACATACAAAACCAAAAGAAAACATTTCCTTTTAAATTTTGTAGTGTATAAACATTTTATAGCAAGGCTTTTTTTTTCAAATCAATAATCTCCCACAACATTAACCATACATTATTGAATAAACAAGTTCCTAAGCACATACCTACAACAGTCAGTTTCCTAATACACACATATCTCTTTCTGTAACTGTTAGAAGGCATATATATAGGGTATTTAGGTTTCTGTATCAAAAATTAATCTAGAGCCTGGCAAGATACTAACTGAAGGTCAAGAGGGCACATAGGAAGAAAAAAAACATTAATTTCAAGAATGTTACATGAACACTTCAAACACACAACTACTTTAAAGCAGTTAAACACAACAGTAACATAGCTGAAATTAATGTCTTCTCAGTATATTAAAAACTTACATTCATTTTCCTTATACTTGGTTGAAAATTACATTTTTCCTATTAAACTAGTCCATACCAGTTTAATATAAAACAACGATGCAATCATTTTTCTGCTCCATCACTCAATAAAATTGCCCACTAATCTATAAACCATAACTCGTACTGAAAAGCGTTAGACACTAGATGGCACTCTTAAAACAATCATCATAGAAGAAAGCTTTCTTGTCAGAGAAAGAAATTTGAATGTTGCTAAGAAAGGCCAGTTATGGTTTTTTATATACATATATTTATAAAAAGCACAAGTGACATTGGGACAGCATCAGATTAATTAACATCTAGATTAATAAGCTCTCTATACAGTTCCATGAATATGATGCAATTATACAAAAAGAAAAAAAAGGTTTTCATTTGATACATCTAGATTATTGGATTTTTTTTAATGTAGATGTGTACATCCAATTTACTATTTTATATCATCTATCACTGGGCCAAATCAATTGTCCAGATCATAATAATGATTGTTACAGTAAAGTATTTTTAAACCATTACATTACCTGATTTTGTCTCAGAACAACAGTGGCTCAACATAATAGTACTGTTACTTTTCTTTAATTAATACACCTGCCACACAAAGAATAGTACAATACATAATGAAATACCTACTTTCCTAAAAGCTATTTTATTTGCACAAGTCTTGACAGCCTATGAGTCAAGACAGATTCAATACCGTTAAGTACAGCTCTGAGGAAGAAATTACATAGCGAAGGTACTGTTGAGGAGATTAGAGAAGAAGAGTTAGTCTTACCTGCTAAATCCATAGTCACTAGCATTTAAACTCATATCCCCAACTATAGTACTTATTTCAATATTAAATAGTACACTCGTATGCATTTGGGTTGTTTTTATTTTCCATGGGAACCCATGGAGCATATAAGCCCATCTTTTCCTGGCCATTCTAGCCACTCATACACATTGACCTTACAAATCACTTCACCACTGAATTTTTTTCTTCTGGTTGACCTTACTGGACATAATCAGCTTTTTTGGTCATTATCATACCGTATAAAACTGCTAAATATTTTGGTAAATTCTGAAGAGGTTTCTGTAGTTTCCATCTGTTAATCACCTGTTCTTACAAATGATTCCAAATCCATCACCCAGGACTGCGCAAGTAAAACATTAACCTTTTTACCACACAGGTACTCTCAATAGGTACACCGGACCTTGCCCATTTTCATCCAGAATAGCGGCTCTGGAGCACTGTTGCCCCACAGAGGATAATACATCATTAGATTAAACATAAAACAAACACTTGAGAGATGTCCAAATAGAGGTACTACTTAATCAGGTTACCGATTAAAATTACAAAAATGTCCACTATGAAAACTGGTAGATGAAAGGGTAAACACTGTCAATGTGAAATCTCCTCCAATCTGTTGAACAAAATTACTTCTACACAGTAGCAACGAGTAATAGATAGCAGTTGTCAGTCAGTCCCAGAGACAGAAACTGATTGGAAATAATGACTTGTTGGTTACTGGTCTGCTCTGTATTCAACCCAGTAAATGCCACAGCTGATGCTATCCTATTAATCCATCCATCTCCTTGAAGATTGAAATTTGACTTGAAATTTGTCTGGTCAAATTCAACTATTCTTATCCTCATGTACACAACTATCACATACAGAAGTCACTCAAACCAGATAAACCAATACTAGGACCTTGCCGAAGCAGGATAAGCAGAGCTGCCCACTCCATTCTCTTGGCAGGGTCAGAAAATGGGAATATCCATGCGGCCCACTTCATTTAGTCCATAGTATCTTCACTTCTCTCAACTATTTTAGCTAAGGCTCTGGATTTTGCACCGAAGCAAATGTACACTCAGGAAAGCTGTGTTCTTCTAAATGCCTTGAAGAGAGAACCTCTGGGAGACAGCTGCATCAGACAGCTTGAGGGTGTTACTAACTTCTTCAAAACTCAAAGTTATTTTTTGTAAACATCCACAGTAATTTACCACTACTCAACTGCAACAGGGTGAACTGTGCCAGAGAGACTGAATTATTTTCCTGAACCTAAATGAACCTCTACAAAGACAGAAAGAACGCAGAAACAGTGACATTCATGATCTACTTAGACAGTAGTGCTGTGCTCACGCTGTAAAATCAGAACAGTTTGCAGAATTGAATGAGAACAAATTATGTTGAGGAGGGGAGGAAGAGTGGGCCAAGACTTTTCTTTCCCTTCTTCCAGAACAGTAAATTAATGTCGCTGAGCACGTAGCTGCAAAAGTGTCCATACAAAGGACATGGTAGAAATGTGCAACTGCAGGTGACAGGAAGCCCGGGAAATGACTTGTTTTGATGGTGGCTCAGACCTAGATCGTGTCAACTGGTCTTGGTATCACACACTGAATCAGCATAATACCCTCTAGTCCCATGACTTGTTATACTTTCTCCACAGAGTCAGCTCAGACTCCAATTTGGTTCTTTCTTGTATTCTCCTCCCTCCAGTAAAGCCACCTCACGCAGGCTTAAAATAAGCCTACGAGAGGGGTTCTCACCGAAGACTGTCCAGTACAGCAGAAGTTACCGTACTCAGTGGCTAGCAGTTCTCCAGTACCTGCCTGTAATTATCTACTCATGAGCCCAAAAGGGCAAAAAAGTTCTCCAGTAACTCTCCACAGCATTGTACGATTCAACTCCATGAAGCACAAAGAACCAGTGAATAAGTCTACAGAGGCGAGCATAACGCTCAGTACGATTTGAAGTGTAGCTGCTCAAACACAGGTATCTATATTAATCCCAAATTAAAAACAGAGCTTTCCTTGCACATCGACAAGAATCTTAGTGAAGCTGCAATATCTGCTGCTGAATTTTTTGATATATTAAAAAAGCCATTTCTACATTTTCTTCTAGCTGGATAGGCATTTAATAAGCTTTCCAATAGATGGATTCTCCTTTAGCTAGGTTTTGTGCACACACTGAAGTTGCATTTATCTCAAAAAAAAATTTAAATACTGCTCATTCATAAAACATTCATTAGATATTCATTTTTTTTAAGTATTCATAAAAAAAATTTCAGAGAGGGATTCTCATATCAAGGTGAGGTTGGAGAAGAAGGGTTAAACTAAGGCAGCTGTTTCAGTTAATTAGACTCTCCCCACATGGGAGGAATAAGGGAAAAAACTAAAGATTAAAATTATGGTCAGTATTATGAGAATTTCTTTTTTAAGGAATCACATAAACAGTGACAGTATCAATACAGCAACAATTAATCATTCCAGTTAGTAATTCTGAACCAAACAAAAAAACCTGTAAATTGCTAATTTCTGAAAAAACTGCAAGCAACTAATATCTTGCATTTAACAGCAGAACAAACTCCAGAGGAGGAGGTAACTCCAGCTCTCATCACAAAAATACAAATGTCTCATTTCTTTGGTTTTCAAGGAGAGTTAAGAACATTACACTTTTCACAAGATCAGGTCTTAAATCTGAGAATCGGTACTTACGTACACAAACGATTTCCAGACCTTGACAAACCAGTCTGTCATTTCACCATTTATATGATGATGATTCATTTCAGTTCATACAAGCAATCAGATCTCTCTCAACTAAAGGCCCTGATCCTACAGATATGCATGGTACCTGACCTGAAGGTATCTTTGCAATATATTGTCCCATAATTTTCAAATATAGTCCTAAATTCTTCTCATATACTGCACTACTATTTTTTCCTACACAGTCCCTTTCTCTTCTCAGATTTGCAGAGCTACAACACTGAAATTGGTTTCCCAGAACAACACTCCCTGTTCCGCTACTGATATGGTCAATTTAGATCTGAGTTATCAAACTTACTGTGTGGAGCAGAACAAATTCTACTCTTAATTAGGGCCCATTTAAGACAATAATACTTTTCTGTTTCTGCAGCTAACCTTCAAGAGATGAAAAGATGAGTTTC